GATCTCAATCCTTGGACCCCAGATATTGATGAACTTCAACTCCCAGAATTCTGTGAATGGAAGAAATGGCAAAAATTCATGGGATTTCAGCACCTAAACCACCCCACAAATACATATTCCATTACACACTACAATCCCTATACAACAATCACATTACAGTCTCTAGGCACACACACTCTCTACATCCCCCTACAAATAGACACACACTACATTCCCTATACATACTCTGCAGCCCCCTATACACTACAGCCCCTAAGAATAAAAATAACGGCTACACTGCAGCCATTATACACACACTACATCCCTACACACATACACTGCAGCCATTATACACACACTACATCCCTACACACATACTCTGCAGCCCGTTTGCACAAAACAGCTTCTATACACACACTACATCCTGTAGCGGATGGCACTGGGCTGTCCTGAAAATTACATGTATATAACTGCATTCAGGTAAACTGCTGGTTTTGTATGTGTTTAAATAAAGTGTATCCGTCTGATTGTTCGGTAGAGTCATTCGAATAAACTAAGGGAATGAAACTACCGAACAATCAGACCTCCCCTGTGTGAAGTGTGCCTTCAATTACCCGTTGCAACAATTTTGCAAACGGGTAATTAACAAGCTATGCAGTAGGCCCTTTGTTCTTGGGGTGGCCGCCATTCGAGAAATGAACACGTGGTGGCGGCCATTTTAAAACTCCCGAACAGCTGTGTTTTGCCGTCGAGTGTCTGGAACCCAAATCGGACACTCGACTAGGCAAACACCGCTGAGACCTCCACAAGCCCGGTCCGTTCGGTTCCAACCTACCGAACGGCCCCTCGTTCGGTAGACAGAAACAACCGAACGAGGGGATTCAGGCGAACCCTACCTGATCTCTGTAGCCTTAGCCTTTCGTGTAATTTATTCCCTTATACTAGGACCGACCATAGGGCCCCATCGCATGGAACCAAATTCGGCTGTACTCTCCAGCGCTGTCGGTCTTTTTAGTACTTCCATAAATTTCCCGAACCCCTGGTCCGATCTGGGTGATTTTTGGATATGTTGCTCACCCAGATCAGGGCTACCAGGGGATGTGCCATTTAAAGGGGTATCCCTAGGTTTAGGGGTACATCCAGAAACTGAGGGAATTTGTGTACAGTATAAGGGGATTATGAGTCAGGCTGAGGGGAGGGGATGTGTGGGAGGTTACTCGACTATGATTGGACACTGCAGTAATTGCTGTAAATCCCTCCCTTGCATGGGAGCATGCTTTATAAGGCCACTGTGGAATAAAGGTTTTCAGTTCTGCTCCTGATGCTGTGTGTCGTCCAGTTATTGGGATTGCTGTTGGGATACTGTTGGATTAATTTACTTGCTGGAAACCTTGCTTTGTGGATTTATCATCTCTTGTTCCTGAGCCTCACTGGGATCTTAAGCGGAGATAACCTGTGGAATATTGTGTCTCCGCTACACATCCCATATACATATACACACACACACACACACACACACACATTTCAGCCTCTAGACATACACACTCTCTTTCACCCTCTAAAATAAAACCCACACTATGTCCTGTATACATACACACACTCTCTACAGCCCTCTACAAATAGACACACACTACTTACCCTATACACACTCTGCAGACCCCTATACACTACAGCCCCTAAAAATAAAAATAGCTGATACACTACAGCCATTAAACACACATTACATCCCTACACTGCAGCCCCTTTGCACAATACAGCTCCTATGCACACACTACATCCCATATACACATGCACATACACTTCAGCCTCTAGACACACACTCTCTATGACCCTCTAAAATAACATACAAACTTGGTCCTGTATACATACACACACTCTCTGCAGCCCCTAGACACATATGCACAGACACTACTTCCCCTACACACACACTACAGCTCATATACACACACTACAGCCCCTGTATACATATACACATACCATATCCACTATGCACACATGCTACAGCCCCCTACAAACACACATTCAGTCGCCTATATACATGTACTCTCTACAGTCCCTGGACACACACACTCAATCCTCTACACACACTACATACTCATACAAATGACAAATGATGATGGCGGACTCCTCCCTTCTTTCTGTTCCCCTAATAATCTTTTTATGTGTCCCAAAACCCTACAGATTGGCAGAGGATCTGGGGGTAAGAAGAGGTTAAAATGGAGTTGAGGCACAGAAAGGGTCAGGGGAGTGGCTGGTTAAACTATACCAACAGGGGCCACAAAAAAAATCTAGCATGCAATAGTGCCCGACCTTTGGATCGCCTGTGGCTATAGGTAGGTACCAGATTTCTACTATTTCACAATAGAAAGAGGGTAAATGATACAGATGGCATGTTCAATATCCTGGAATTTCTTCAGTCATCCAGCAAGTCCAATGACATGTCAGTTCTAGGTGATTTCCCATATGAATATGTGAATATTTTACTATGAAGACTGAGAATATTTAATTATAAATTCATTAAGGGGCCTCACTTTTATCCGTTTAGTTTTGCAGGAGACCATAACAAGGCTGATAGAAGAGAAGAGAAAAGCATTTCTTCAAATAGAAGATCTAAACAACGAGATAAGGAAGGTGAAAGCGGAGGTAAATCAACAACCTCTTTTTAAAGTGGACTTTTTTTTACAACATCTTTGCAAACCTACTGCCATAGGATACTGAAAAAAAGGGGTATAGATAACCTGGATTGTGTTCTTAGTAAAAAAAAATTAAAAAAAATCTACCAGAACATTATTTAACACAAGTTATTATTCAGAAAACCATCCTTTTCTGATAACATAGCTGCATTGTTATATAGCTGAAAAGAGACCTACATCCATTAAGTTCAGCATTTCTTAAACCTGTTTTTGCTGGTAATCCAAAAAACTGTTTGAAGCACTTTTGCTGCAAACTAGGAAAAAATGCTTCTTGACTTTAGAATGGCAGTTAGATTTCTCCTTGGATCAAGAAGCTATTACCCTACAAATTAAAAATGACAACACCATGATCTATATTTCTACTTACTTCTTCATAAAAAGGAATTATGTTAGTTTGACATTCCATAAAACCATGCTGATTTTTGCTAATAACACTATTATTCCCAATGAATTCCTGAATATTATCCCTTAATAATCCCTCAAAAACTTTCTCAGCCACAGAAGTTAAGCTCACAGGTCTATAATTTCCAGGCACGGATTTTGAACTTTTTTTTTTAATAAAGGAACCACATTTGCTTTTCTCCAATACTCCGGAACAATTCCCAAAAGAAAATAATCCTAAAAAATGAAAATGAGAGGTTCAATTTTTTCTACATTTATCTCCTTAAGTACTCGTGGGTGCATACCATCAGGCCCTGGAGCTTTGTTTATATTAACATTCTTTAGTTCCTGCAGCACCTTGTCTTGAGTTATTCAATCACAGTAACCGTTTAATTTTTTATGTACAACACAGCTTGAAAATGAGCGACAAGAAGGAAAATCTCTGTTAAGAACATTGGCTAAGAATCAAAGAATGTTCCAAAAATTAAACAGAGGTGAGGAATGAGTAAAGCAGTGAAACATGTGTGATACCTGGGAGGTAAAGTCAGCATTGAAGGTGTCAGACAGAGATATGCAGGCCCGGACTGGCCATCGGGCACACCGGGCAAATGCCCGGTGGGCCGCGGTGGCCATGGGCCGAGGCCGGCAGGGGAGCTCCCAGGATCTCCCCTGCCGGTCTATGCAGGGCCGGCACTATCCGAGCGCCGGCCCCGCTGTTTTCCATGAAGGGCCGGTGAGGGAAATCAAAGATCTCCCTCACCGGCCCACATGCTGTATAATGCGGCCGCGGGCAGGGGGAGAGGGAGGGAGACAGCCGCTAGGAGAGAGGACCCGGCGGAGCTCTAAATTAGAGCTCCGCCGGGTTCCTCTCGCGAGATCCGTCGCGTTGCCATGGCAACGACCGGATCTCACCACAAGGACCACCAGGGAACCCCCCCTCCCAGTCCCAGGGATCAGTGTGCCGGTCCCCCCCTCCCAGGCTAAAGGTAAGAAGGGAGGGGGGGACATAATGCCTACTTTATTTATTTAACCCCCCTCCCCCCTACACACACAATCCATTCTAACATTTATACAGCACTCTCACACACAGCACTCTCTCACACACATCACTCTCACACACATCACTCTCACACACAGCACTCTCACACACATCACTCTCACACACAGCACTCTCTCTCACACAGCACTCTCTCTCACACAGCACTCTCTCTCACACAGCACTCTATAACACACAGCACTCTCTAACACACAGCACTCTCTAACACAGCACTCACACACAGCACTCTCTCACACAGCACTCTCTCACACAGCACTCTCTCACACACAGCACTCTCTCACACACCGCACTCTCACACAGCACTCTCACACACAGCACTCTCTCACAGCACTCTCACACACAGCACTCTCTCTCACAGCACTCTTTCACACAGCACTCACACACAGCACTCTCTCACACAGCACTCTCTCACAGCACTCTCTCACAGCACTCACACACAGCACTCTCTCACAGTACTCTCACACACAGCACTCTCACACACAGCACTCTCTCACACAGCACTCTCTCACACACAGCACTCTCACACACAGCACTCTTTCACACAGCAGTCTCTCACAGCACTCACGCACTCTCACACACATAGCACTCTCACACAGCACTCTCTCACACAGCACTCTCACTCACGGCACTCTCACTCACGGCACTCTCACACACATCATACACAGCACTCTCACACTCATCAGACACACACACATCACACAGAGCACTCTCACACACCGCACTCTCACACACATCACACACCGCACCCCTCAGACACACATACTGCACCCCTCACATACACACAGAACCCCCTCAACACACTGCACCACATACATACACAATACTTCCAAATATATATTTATATATATACACACACACTACACTCTTAACATACACACTCTGGATCCCCTATACACACACTAGATTCCTTGTAAGCAAACACATACTACACCCCTAAACATACACTACATCACCTATATACACACACACACACACACTATAGCCTGTATGCACACACTTGCTATATCCCCAATACACACATTCTCTACAGCCCATAGCCACATATTCATCACATTACACCACTTTACACCACAAACACAACATGACTAAAACCAACCTTATTACACAATACCACACCACAATCAGCTCACTCTACACACACGCAATACCACAAGCAGGCTCCAAACACATGCACAATACTCTTTCCTGGCATTTTTGTTTCCTGGTATCTTTATAGAGACACCAGAGACAATTTGCAAGGAAACACAGTGCAAGCATGTTATTAAATTTGCTTTCACTGTGCAGAACAAATACAGGGCTTTTTTTATCATGCTAGAGCTCTTCAGCAGAGCTCTGCGCATGGTCTGCCCTGGAAGAGCATTGAACCAACATGCTCACTTTGAGAGGGGGCGTGTTTGTCATTGGTGATGACAAAACACACCTCCTCTGCCCCCGCCCCCTTCTTAGTGGGCCGCTGTGTTAAAAAAATGCCCGGGCCGAATTTTTCTCCCAGTCCGGCCCTGCACCATACACATTCACACACTGAACCTTTCACACACATTGCACCTCTCACACATTGCACCACTGCTCCTAAACCCTACTACAGCCCCATATCCCAGCATACTCCAGGTAAGTTGTCAAACTGTTCTTAAAAGGTTTGACTACTTACTCTGGGAGGGGGTGCCGACACTCCTGGCACCATAACCACTACACAGAGGAGTAGTGGTTATTGTGCATGAAATATTTCTTTAAATAATCTACAAGTGCCCCTCCCGGGCTCAGGCTCTGGATCCGTCACTGGTATATGACATGTATATTAATGTGTATATTTGTTTTATATATATATATATATCTATTATATTTACACATATTAATGTACATTTATATATGCATAATACACAGAGAAATTTCATTAATATGTACCATATGTAATGAGCAGATATTGGCCCAATCTTGTTGCTAGGTGCATACTCAAGCACAATAACATATTTAAAGTGAAGAGCACACCCACAGGACTTCAAAATAAACATTTTTTACAGTTGTGCCCAGGGGTCAAGTCCTGGGGAAAAAAGTGTGGGAACTCACCCAAGATTCCCGCCGTCCGTCCCCCCCCTTTAAAAAAAAAAAAATTACACTCCTATGCATATAGTGCAGTGCAGGGTGTGTATAATGAATGTAGTGTGTTTGTAGTGAATGCAGAGTGTGTATAATGAATGCAGTGTGTTTTTAGTGAGTGCAGAGTGTGTACACAGAATGCGGTGTGTTTGTAGTGAATGCAGAGTGTGTATAGTGAATGTAGTGTGTAGTGAGTGCAGTGTGTTTTTAGTGAGTGCAGAGTGTGTACACTGAATGCAGTGTGTTTGTAGTGAATGCAGAGTGTGTATAGTGAATGTAGTGTGTAGTGAGTGCAGAATGTGCATAATGAATGCAGAGTGTGTATAGTGAATGCAGAGGGTGTATAGTGAATGTAGTGTGTTTGTAGTGAGTGAAGAGTGTGTATAATGAATGCAGTGTGTGCGCGCTGGATGACGTGTGTGTGAGTGCTGGATGATGTGTGTGCGAGTGCTGGATGATGTGTGTGCGTGTGCTGGATGATGTGTGTCTGTGCGTGTGCTGGATGATGTGTGTGTGTGTGCTGGATGATGTGTGTGTGTGTGCTGGATTATGTGTGTGTGTGTGCTGGATTATGTGTGTGTGAGTGCTGGATGATGTGTGTGTGAGTGCTGGATGATGGGTGTTTGTGTGAGTGCTGGATGATGGGTGTTTGTGTGAGTGCTGGATGATGGTGTTTGTGTGGTCTTTGGATGATGGGTGTGTGTGTGTGCTGGTGTGTGTGTGTGTGTGCTGGATGATGGGTGTGTGTGTGTGTGTGCTGGATGATGTGTGTGTGAGTGCTGGATGATGTATGTGTGTGCTGGATGATATGTGTGTGTGAGTGCTGGATGATGGGTGTGTGAGTGCTGGATGATGTGTGTGTGAGTGCTGGATGATGGGTGTGTGAGTGCTGGATGATGGGTGTGTGTGTGGGTGCTGGATGATGGGTGTGTGGTGATGGATGATGTGTGTGTGTGTGCTGGATGATGGGTGTGTGGTGATGAGATGATGGGTGTGTGTGTGCTGGATGATGGGTGTGTGTGTGCTGGATGAGTGTGTGTGTGTGTGCTGGATTATGTGTGTGTGGGTGCTGGATGATGTGTGTGTGCTGGATGATGTGTGTGGGTGCTGGATGAGTGTGTGTGTGTGTGTGTGTGCTGGATGATGTGTGTGTGTGCTGGATGATGTGTGTGTGGGTGCTGGATGATGGGTGTGTGGGTCGCTGGATGGGTGTTTGTGTGGGTGCTGGATGATGGGTGTTTGTGTGGGTGCTGGATGATGGGTGTGTGTGCTGGATGAGTGTGTGTGTGTGTGGGATGGTGTGTGTGTGTGTGCTGGATGATGGGTGTGTGTGTGAGTGCTGGATGATGTGTGTGTGTGCTGGATGATGTGTGTGTGTGTGTGGGATGATGTGTGTGTGCTGGATGATGGGTGTTTGTGTGAGTGCTGGATGATGTGTGTGTGAGTGCTGGATGATGTGTGTGTGAGTGCTGGATGATGGGTGTGTGAGTGCTGGATGATGGTGTGTGTGAGTGCTGGATGATGTGTGTGCTAGATGATGTGTGTGTGTGTGCTAGATGATGTGTGTGTGTGTGTGAGTGTGCTGGATGATGGGCGTGTGTGTGCTGGATGATGGGTGTGTGAGTGAGTGCTGGATGATGGATGTGTGAGAGTGCTGGATGATGGTGTGTGAGAGTGCTGGATGATGTGTGTGGTAGATGATGTGTGTGTGTGTGTGCTGGATGATGGGTGTGTGTGTGCTGGATGATGGGTGTGTGTGCTGGATGATGGGTGTGTGAGTGCTGGATGATGGATGTGTGTGTGAGTGCTGGATGATGGGTGTGTGAGTGCTGGATGATGGGTGTGTGAGTGCTGGATGATGTGTGTGGGGGGGGGGAAGCATTTTTTTCTTACTTTGTGTTTAATATTTATTTTATTCCCCCCTCCCTGCTTCTTACCTTGTCAGGGAGGGGGGAGATCGCCTGGTGGTCCGGTGGTCAGGTGGAGGGAGCCAGCCGCTCGCTGCACAGAGGGGCCATCACACGCAGTGTTCCCTCTCCAGCTCTAACTCTCGCGAGACTCGCCTGTGCGGAGCGTTGCCATGGTAACAGCCGCGGGTCTCGCGAGAGTTATAGCTGGAGAGGGAACACAGCGTGTGATGGCCCCTCTGTGCATGGAGCAGGGCCGGTCCTGCAGGACAGGTAACGGGAACGGCGTTCCTGCTTTGGAAAAAGTGCAGGAACGCCGTTCCCATGCGTTCCTGCAGGACTCGAGCCCTGGTTGTGCCGTACATACATTCACCATTTCAGTCCCATTAACAAGCTTTCCTTAATATGTCAAGGTAGTTGGACTGAAACATTGGTTACATGAAAAGGCACGTCTGCTTAAAATAAATCTGCACTTTTGTTTATTTTGAAGCCTATGAGTGCGCTTTTTACGTTGAAGTACTTTTTAATTTTAAGTTATCTGTTCTAACTCTGTATCTGCACACTATGCTGGCGCGACGCATTATGGGGCTGGTAAATATTTTTTTTCCAGGGCTGCTTTTAATTCCCAGTCCAGCCCTGGCTGTGTCCATGCCTTTTTTAAATCAAATACGTTTCAATGTCCGCATCAACATTACCTGCTAGATTTCCACCTATTTCTTAACAACGGTGTCTTTAGTTCTTGCCATATAAATACCCTGTCGACTATTTACAAATGAGAAACTTTTGCCAAAATAGTCTGTTGACTATTGACAAATGAGATGGTCGTGCCAAAATAGTCTGTTGACTATTAACAAATGATAAGCCAAAATTGTATCATTAGGACAGATCATTCCAGTGGACACAGAGTAGGCAATCAGGCAATGGTGACGAGTCTGCTAAACAGTAGAAAACAAACCATTAGAATTCAGGTTGGCAGACTTACTGTCCAAACCAGACACCATGTCAGCATTATATTTGGCATTTTCATATATACCAATATTTTATGATCAATGGATTCATTA